TGAAAAGAACCTTTCATTTGTATGTTTACAAAAGAAGAAAATAAACTTTGATACTTGAGGATTGAGTCGTCTGTCAATCCCGTTTTAAATATCATTAATATCATTTTTAGTCTTTACCATGGGGTTTTGGAAGGCTTTTAAGGTGGATCAAACAAACTTATGGGAATACTGAGATCGTTATTACTGAGAATGGAACTCCCGATACCACTGGCACTTTGAATGATGAAGATAGAATCGATTTTATGAGAGTAAGTAATCCAAAGTTGAATGAACTCAAATGATACTGTCAAAGCCGTTTTCCGGTTTTTTTGGCTGTGGTCTGCAGGTTTTAATTCCTGACATTTCGTCTACTACTGCGGTAAACATTATCATAGGCGATGAGGTAACAGTCGAAGTGCTAGAGTCGGTGATCGAGTTGTTCCCAATGCAGAAAATACAAAGCTGGAATTTGTCTCCGGTTTTATATTTTCATAGGTGGGCGTAGATCACCTGAATTTGACAGGTAATCCAATTAAGAGAAACCAAGCCTGGCCTAATTGGATTACCTGACATTGCAAAGTCTAATCCAATTATGCCAAACTGTGTTTCTCTTAGTTGGATTACCTGACCTTGTAAGGTTTTTGGAATACCGGACCTTATAAGGTCAGGTAATCCAGTTAAGAGAAACCAAGCCTTGCCTAATTGGATTACCTGACATTGTAAGGTCAGGTAATCCAATTAAGCCAAACTGGGTTTCTCTTATTTGGATTACCTGACCTTGTAAAGTTTTTGGAATACCGGACCTTATAAGGTCAGGTAATCCAGTTAAGAGAAACCAAGTCTAGTCTAATTGGATCACCTGACCTTACTATCCCAGGCAATCCAATTAAAATAAACCAAACCTGTTCTAATTGGATTACCTGACATCACAAGGTCCGGTTATACAAATACCTTACAAGGTAAGGTTACCCAATTAAGAGAAACTCAGTTTGACTTAATTGGATTTCTTGACCTTACCAGATTAGGTAATCCAATTAAGAGAAACCTTATTGGATTACCTGACCTTACAAGGTTAGTTCAGGCATAGAAACGTGAAGATCATGGCAAAAAAAACCTGAAAGTAGCTTTGACACAGTTATATCCGGCCGTGATAGTTTACATTCTCAAACTTGATATTGGATATGTTAAATTTTCTAGCTTTCTAAACGAGGTTCACTGAAAAATTTTGAAAACCACATGTTGAGAGGGTTACTTTTGTAGTTGAATCATAATATGTCCTATTCCATCTCTAATTGTTGCATTATACAGTGTGCATCATGATGTTATTTTTATTAATAGCTTTACTTCAAATTTTATTTCAGCATCAATTTCTGCTTCGTACGAAATGAAAAATAACCCAAAGAATGTAGTCTTGTGATACCATAAAAGTGAGGTTATTCTCAAAATATCGAAAAAAGTTCTTCAGTTCAACACTTGATATGACAACTCAATCAGAACAATGTAAATCGCACTTATCTTTATATATTCTCTTCGTTTCCTTTCTTCGTAGGTTTTCCTTTTCTGGAGGTGGGAAGTGGATTGCAGTTTTTGTTGGTTGAGGATGACAGTAAAATGCTTTACCAATTTTTTAGGGTTATCTTCCATCTCTATCGAAGCAGAGATTGATGCCAAAGTCGAAATTCGAATGAGTATATCAATGAAAAATTCCTAAATGATTCATACTTTAGTGGTCGGTCACACTGTAGAAACAGAAGTTGAAGATATATTTTTTTTCAGTCATACATGAGTCATATGGTAGACGCAATTTATGATGCTGGAGTGAACGTGACGGGATACACCGTATGGAGTATTATTGACAATTTCGAATGGACGGCAGGTTATACGTAAGTGGACTGTATAAAAATATGACATTAATGATGAAACGTTCAATTTTCAGTAAGAAATTCGGCCTGTACCATGTCAACATGAGTGATCCGTCAAGACCTAGGACAGCAAAAGATTCTTCTAAATATTATTCCAGAGTGATTAGAACAAGATGTCTCTTGGATTTTTGTGAATCAATCAGAAATGGTCCCGATTCCACTAAAAATTGTTGAAACAGGGTCCTTTTTAATTTTCAACCTACAGCCAGAATATCTTTCAAATCAAATTGTTACATAAGTATACTATCTGTAAATAAAACGCAAATGATGAGGATTCGAAGATATTTAAATGAAGTCTCTATTATTTTTCTGCCAATCTAAATAAAAATGAATTCATTCTTTTTATGAAAAAGAGTTGAAATTGGTTCGATAGAAATCGTTGATCAGAAAGGCAAGTAATGAAAAACTACTCAAAAGCAGTAGAAACCAGTAAAATATATTCTTTCATCATGTAGTTTAGTCGCTTACAATGATTATGCCAAGACAATTTAGTAAAAAAAACGGTTTCGAATAAATGTGAAAAAATATATATACATATATAAAAATCGAAAACTTGGCTTCTGCAGAAAAATAGTGATATAACACAATAAAGGTCACTAAAACAATAATAAAAACAAAAGACACTGTTCGTCGTCGTGATTTCAAACATTTGGGAGCCTGGCTCTAAGGGAGCCAGGCTCCAACTGATATTTTGTCAGAGGGACAAACGGATCATGACTAATGGTAAGATGGCTACATGAATGTTCTCAGAACATCAGTGTCGCCCTTCACGGTGTACCCCTACCTGGCTGGAGTGAGATGGTTGAAAAATTGTTCACCTGTTAACGGGGGACATGAGGACCCACCAGAGAACATAAAACTCATAAAACAAGTCAACAAGGGAAACCGCATGGACATTTGGGAAAACTTGAACATCCATAAATTTAACAGTCCTAAATCACTTATCGAGGAACAAGTACAAATCAAAACACAACAAGACCTCACATTCAATATATTGAACAAAACCATACACATTCCTAGAGAAGATCTAACACAAAGAAGAGTACCTGATGCAGTACAAATACAGTATATACAGTGTCACCGATAAAGTCCGCATCTAATGGCAAACTTTTTTATTTATCGTTTTATGTGAAATTTGATTTTGGCAGTAGATTTTGCTTAAGAAATGATGTCAAATGGCGTCTACAAAATAGGTCACGTGATTTCCTTAACCTGTCAAAAATGACATTTAAAAAAATAAACATCGAAAAATGACATTATTCTTCAAAATATACAAAAATATCAAAGAATAAAAAAATTTTCTTTTGTAATTTTATACCCACACACCAAGTTTCAAACCCATAATAAGTATTTTATATTTTCACTATTTTTCCGCATTCCTGCTTTTTCTACTTATCAAAATTTAAGCACACCTGTACTAAATCATTTATTTTAACTAAACTCGTCAC